TCGAATGATACTCGAGGAAACTAGAAAAACAGCTGTACGTTCTAGTGAAGATATAGGAGTTATCGGTGGCGGTTCAGATCGAACGGCTCCTGGTGGTAGAGCAAAGTTGGGGGAATCTCGAAAACGTCGCGATTCTGCGACGATCGCTGGACGAGTTGAAATGGCGACAGTGGGATCGGAATGGGAGAATGACCAGGAACGATGGCTGCAGGCTAAATCGCCGTGAACGTCGCTCCCGCTCGGTTGGCAGCTACTCGAAGATTGGTGATGAACTCGGGGAGAGACCATCTAAACTCGTCACGGATGTTCCCGCAGGTCTTTTCCTATTTCGCTCAGAATCCTCTGGAATTCGTTCAACCCTTAACTAGCTTCTGTTGCAGACACAGTGGAGTCCCCCGAGATTGGCGGCATCACGGAGAAGGTTGGGAAGAAGGACCAGTTGTTCAAATCAGCGGTTCTCAATCGGTTACAGGAGTTACGATCGGACCTTGAGTGACCAGCGGGACAGTCTGTCACCATAATATTGATTTTCTCATGAAGAACTGAAAGGCCGTAAGCAGCAGAGTGTTTGCGTTGAGTGAATGGTATCGATTCTCGAGGATGTACCCGCTGCCAGAGCTCGAATTGGACAATTGCCGTTCTGATGAACCGTTCTAACTACGTCGTTTTGTGTTGAGCTGTGTGTCGCTACAGGAGGGCGCATTAGAGATCTCTGGCCGTCTCGTCGGAGTCAACAGCATATGAAGGGCACTGCGGTTGAACCTCGGGCGAAGCCAACTACGTTCAAGCCTCAGACGTGGAAATTACGACGATTGAAACTTTTCCACTGATGAGGACGTTTTTGGATGAGCGAAAAATTCCGGCATGACGCACTTTCGCGCACATGTGTAAACTTTACCCAATCGTTGATTAGTGCGTATTTGTCACACCTTGGGCTGTATTAGGTTTCGCGCTCGCCCATAAATTACTTGAATGGTCCTCACTCCGGCCCAAAAACGTCAGAACACCGACTCAGCAGCAGCCGAGACCTCTGCGGGTATTGAGGATGGCAGTCAGACGAAACGACGGCGAACTGGTGGGTATCACAACCCTCAAGTCTTCGGCATAAGTCAACGACAGTGGCGACAGAAGTCCTATCGAGATCTATGCTCTGTTGTACTGCGGTGGATGCGGTCGAAAGATCGGAATCAATTTTTCTATTTCCCGGTGGATGTCAATGAGGTGCC